CTGATAACGGGGACCTTTTGTATAGTTTCATCTTTGAAGTACCTCAGAGAGCATGTAATTCATTGCACACTGTTTTCAATTAATGCCCTTTCGTATATTGAGATTTATAGCCAGTCACGTGCCAGAAGAGTCTTAGCTCTAATCAGAGTATCAGTGCAAGATGCCGAAGTGCTTGGGGTGTTACGACAATGCAATTACTTAGCAAACGCTGCTCAGAAGCCTAATGCAAAACACACAAAACAAGAACACTTTGTCCTGCAAAGGAGATCCACCTCGAGCGTCTTTTCAGTTCTCGCGTAAAAAAGCCCCAAAACAGGATTCAATGTTATTCAAACTCACTATTGGTAATAATTATTAAGATTTGGGCAAGAGTTTAAGAGCCATAGTTAATCGAATATCTTTTAAAGCTTTCAAAGAAAGTTTGCTTTCATTACATAGGGAAAAATATCAAGAAAATCAGTCACTGATTGTTTTGGGGGGAACTTCAAGTTACGTAAGTTATTATAATACTCAAATCAGCTTTAGCGATACTCTAAAGGTGGGCTTGTTTGTTTTTGTGTTTTGGTTTGGTTTTTTGGTGTGTGCAGGTTTTTTTGTGTTTTGATTTTTTTCTTTTTTTAATTTGTATTAATTCTTCTATTCCCAAAGGAGAATGTAGGCTTATCAACAGCAACATAATTTGGGGGAGTAGACATTTAAAAACCACGCTGCAGTAGGAACAAACAGTATTCAGAATGTGCTTAACTAGAGGGGTGTTAATGCAGAAGGATGCTAGGGTATGAATGACAGCCTAGGCGTGTTACCAACAGGTACCAATACCTACCCAAGAAAGTTACTAAATAAACTCTAAAGCAGAAATTTTTAATTTTTTTTAATCATATAGAGCTCCCATAGGATTACATCAGGACTCTAATCACAGCTTCAGAAGCCTTACGAAAACCTTGAGACTAAAAAAAAAACCCTGTTCCTCCCTTCCCTCCCACAAATATTTGAAAATTCCTCATTCTGGATAGGACTGAAAGAGTTAAGTGCTACAGAAGTACATAAAACCCCACATCACATCGACGCTTTAGCCTAATTTCATTGATACAAAACAGAATAATCACTGCAGCATTGTGTAATTCAACTCAATTCTTACAAGCTGTCTCAACTTCTTAATTTAAGATTTGAGGGCAGAGCGCTGAGTACCGGCTGCAGCCGTCTGTCACCGCAAACGCCCGGTTTATAGGCATACCGCAAGTAACTTCTGATTGTTGACGTTTGCTAGAGGGAATTTTAACTAATAGGACATACGAAGATCGGCTTTGGAAAATGCATTGAAACATGGAAGACAGAATTCAAGCTCAGTATGAGTGACTTGGGCGAGGTTTTGGATGCCTTCTCCGGATGCACGGAGAACATTTAAACCATACTACAACGTAAGCCTCCAACGGACAGCACGCTTAGACCACCTGCACCTCAGGCTCTTCGCACGGTCAAAGAGAATTTACTAGTTTTAAGCATAACGGGAGAAAACACACAAGATGCTAACAACAGTGTTGAGACTACCTAAGCCACAAAAGAGTGGCTTAAATCCACCCATGGTAACGCGCTCGGGTATGGGGACCCTTTGCTCTGCACTACTGGCCGATACTGATGCCGTTGCGTAGTTTTTGGAGACATAAAAGGAATACAATAGAGCTCCTCACTTTTTATCAAAAGGAAAACTGAGATAGAAATTGTGATATCCAAGGGGTGAAAGAACAGCAAAACATGTCCCGAGCCTGCTCCAGCTATAGCTGATGTTTGTGGCCATCTACTCGCTTTGGTGAGAGTCTATCAGGCTCTATGTGCGCTTGACAACTACAACTTATTTATAATTGCCCTTACCAAACATCAGAGCAGAAGCTATTTTGCTGGCAGTAACAGAAGCCATATCCAAAATATCAGATCATTTAAGATATTAATTAGTTCTCTGGAAATCCCTTTAAATACATAGCATGTATGCCTATTTCTTCACAATTATAAGCCTTTGTTAAAATTTCACTTTTTTTCATAAAAGTAAATCAGTAAGATAATATCGTTAACTAGTTTGTAATCTCGAACTGTGCAGAGATGATATGAAAGTGAAACAATTTACACTAACCTCCAGCCAAGAGCGTGTTCAAATTAAGTGTTCTTCCATTTCAAACATTTAACTGATTACTCATAAGCAGACCATGCTTCTTTTCTATAATTGCTTAATTGGACAAAACCTAAGTTGGAAAAAAAAAAGTATGCAAGAAATTCCAAAAGAAGTATCACAAGGATGATGAACATCAAATACTGTATAGTAAGAGTAAACTGCAAGTGAACTCTTTTGTATCCCTGCATATCCAAAATGTTTCAAAGATTGAGATGCTGAAATATTCATAGCAAGTGAATTTCCCCCCCAGATTAAGGGTAACATCAGCATACCTGGCTACACCGTCCTGTCAGGTATAACAAAGGTGTTTGTCTGTATGTTTTCTTTGTGATAAGACAACTTTAATGCTGCAGTCACTGAAATCTTGCTTTTATCCCAGGAGTACCACTTGCACTAAAGGCTAGTAATGATACAAAACCAACAGCGATAGCTTTGTAGAAGATGTTTTAAATTCTTTGCTAAGAATCTGAATATCCATCTTGGTTGTATGCTTTTCCTCTTACCACCTTTGTTTTGCACACCAAGAAGAACTTAAGTACCTTCAGCTGCTTACAACTGCTTTTGTGCAAAATGCTTTTAAGGTGCTTCTAATGTGGTGCTTCTAAGCAAGAAAATACCAATATAAACACTGTTAAATGATTCATGAATCAAGCCATTAAAGAGCAGCTGCTACCTTACGGGAAAGCTGAAGACACTTCAGCTTTGACATTTTAGTTGTGTTCCATGCCTCGCATTACCCTCTATCCCCAACACAGTTTTTACTAGCATGTTTCAACCCACATCATACCTTGACCTTGGCTAAGGGGGCTTTATTTCCACCACTTTGTCTTTTTTTTCTTAGAGTGAGTTCAAATTCTTCCAGCAGTCATTTGTAAATTTCCAAAAAAAAAAAAAAATTATACCGATAGACTGCAGACAAGAGGTTTACAGGCATTCTTGCTGGCAAAGGTCTTCAGTAGTGAAAAGGATGAACCAGCTGCATAAAAGGCAGATTTTGTACTAAACAATACACTTTCCAGGAAGCAGTTGTGTTCTTTGATAAGTTTTCAAGCATTTCAAACAGGCACCTCAAAACTAGGCACAAATGGCCCCTAAAGCTTCCAACGTCTATCAGACACTCAAGAAATTTAGTATGGGGTATGTTCTGCATGATACAAATAGCACGCCTATGTTTGCTATATTCATTAAGTCTCAAATCTACATATATTCATACCTAACTATTTGGCCAGATAATTTCCATCTTCCCCCACCACAATAAAAGAAAGCAGCTTACCTAACAGTACTTCGAACACCACCAAGTACTTCACAGGTATAAGCAAAAACCAGCCAGCACCCTCTGCCTTTTAAGATCTGAGCTACTACCACCACTCTTGGCAGTTGGGCCAGAATTCTCCTACAAGCTTTTTTTCCTGTTTCAAAATGCCGAGTTCTGCCATCACAGGTGTCTTGTAACTAGCAAAGCAATGCAAAACAGGAAATTCATTGATGGCAAATCAGTCTGAAATACATTTGACTTCTGGTTGTCTCTAACTGTTCACAGTCTAGCAGTTAGTCACCGATTTAATATTTAAAATGCATAGCATCCTACTAGACAGTACAATTGCACAGTAGTGTCTAAAACCATTGAAAATACTTTCAAGCTCATCGCCTCCAAACACATTAGCTCCCAGTCTACTAGCAGTTAGCACTGGTTTCGAGTCACAAAACCCCAAGATAATTCTGGCTCTGAAATTAATTTCCTCTCCGTCACAGCATTTAGACACAGCTGAAGTCCTAACACCAAGACAGAAAGGGCGAGTGAGTGCTGGCGACAGGATATTGCCAGTAACTTGTCCATCACTGTGAACTTTCTTGGTCAGAGTTCCCTTATCTGGGCACGCTGCAAGGCTTATTTATTTTCCCAAGCTACCCCTACAGTTAGGCAAATAGAATTTTGCATTTATGATCTGTATTATTTGTACATGCGGTGAGAGATTCAGATAGAAGCAACGTTCTATAAAAATCAAATAAATAAAAAATGAAATCCACATGCCAAGTTTGTTAGAATAAAGTGTCAGTTTGTCTTGTATGCCAAACAAACTTAATATTGGGTATATTCGGTGGAAACTACTGCCGAGGAAACAGTAACATAGTCATCGCACAAACAGGTAGACAATGTAAGTAACAAAAATCATTGGATTGCATGATGTTGTCTTGAAGTGGTACCAATGTTATTTAGATCCTTAATTTTGACAACTTATACACATACTTACTTTCTCCAGCTCAGTGCAGGACACAATACCATTTGTGATAACAACTAGAAATGTTCATTTTCCTGTAAGAGGCCATTTGTTAACCAGCATTTCTTTTGGGTCACAAGCGATCAAATTAAGTTTATGGGTAAAGTGCAGCATCTTACACATCCCTTTTGTTTGTATTTTCACATAAACTTATCAGTTACTGGCACCATGCAAACACAGACCTTCTAAATTAACACTAATGCATTTAACACTGGCACAATACATTAGTCAGCTTTTCATAACAGTAATGAACAAGTTAAATGAGTTAAGAGTTGAACGAATTAAGTGCCCAGTTACAAAATTAAGAATTTGTCCTTCACAACAGAGTCTAAAGGTGTGAAGAAAACTTACACTGACACTTTATGTACAACTTGGTCATTGGCAACGGTCCCCTAAACCATTTTTTAAAATGAACCCAGCAAAACTATACAGAATGTGAAATAATATTTGCAACAGATCTCTAAAAGGACAGTGTAGAGAAATTCATTATGGTGTACCTGATGTTTAAATTAATTTAACAGATACGTCCTGTAAAACAACACAGTATGAACCTGTGGATTTTTTTTTCTTTTTAAAAAAAGGACTTTTACAGAATTCAAGTAGTGTAGCAGGAAACCATAGATGCCTTTTGATCACAGGTCAGGCAAAATAGAGCCACTTATTGGATTTTCCCCTTGCTTCTTTTTGCTAAGGTGTCCCAGTGGATCTATAAGTCTGTTGATGTTAGCTTTTTCATGCTCCGTCGCTGAGCTAAGCTTGAGGCTGCAACAGGCTCTAACACTGGCTGAAACGTCTTGTGATTCAGTGCAGAATATGTAGCAGCCATGGCTCCCTAGAGAACAATGAAATATATAAAAGGCTGTAAAGGTCATTTTTATCAGAAAAAAAAGGAATTGAATATTCAATTCTTAATTAACTATGAAAAAAACTCCAGGATTTATGGCAGGTCATGCACATTCTCAAACATTTATTGACGAATTCTTCAGGTTTCTAAGCACAGGTATCTGCCATTTCTTTTTCTCTCCTATGTATTTCTTTTATATATCTTAGATGTAGGAGTCATCTTTTAATGTGGGTCAGAATTAGTACCTTCCAACCAACATTATCAATTTACCAAATGCAGCCACTTACGTGGGTATTCTGGTCCTGACTTATGAACACAACACAGTTAAGACTAGCTATGACAGGTCCTTTTTTCTGAATCCAACAAAACTGAGTAAGTCAACTTAAAAGCTGTCTGCATACAATAGAATGTGTCAGAATCACAGATACAGAATGAACAGATAAAATACCGGTCGAAAAACTGTAATGTAGTTTTATTAACTTATGTTAGGAAAGCAGAATATGAGCCAGTCAAATCCCAGATTTCTTGAACAAGAATGCTAGCAGACCTGTGGAAGGCTCAGTCTCAGATAACTGTCTTAGCAGGTTCCTATATGGCCAAAGCTACCTTAACCTTTGAAAACAAAACACCCAGAAAAATCTCTTCCTTTACGCACAGATTAAAAAAATTAGTTTACCAATAATTTGTCTGCTTATGTAACTTAAACATGTATGTACTAGGAAAAACAAAAGAAAGCTAATTTCTTTTCTAAAGAAAAAAAATAAAATAGAGTTCTGCCTGTAGCAACCCAATTCACTGCACATCCATCAGCTCAAGCAACATTCAGTCTTCAGGTTGTTTTACCTTTACTAGATGTGGTGCATCTTGCCTGTTCAGTTGATAATGTGGCAACTGGTCTCTACAGGCTATCCACGAATGTTTTAACACTTGCTCTGCTGTATACCGCTGATGTGGATCTACATGAAGCATATGTGACAACAAGTCCTAGATAAAAATGAAAAACACCCATATTATTCAGTTAAAATAATCTTATACAGAGTTTAAAGCATTAGTTATGGCAGGAATGAAAAGAGCACCCTATGTGGCAGGGATTAACACAATGCAAACACACACACACAAAAATCAGCAGATAAATTGGATCATTCTGTGCCTTGACACCGCAGAAGTCTGAAAACAATGTGTTGTACTATTTAATCAGTTTAACAGAGCAAGCCTTTATTGTAAAGAAACTTACTGTTGTTTGTGTGTTTCGTATTTCAGTTTGTTTATTATTAATATAATCTTTAAAAGACTAGAAATCCTGTTAAAATTTAGCAGACATTTTATTGGAGAAAGCTATTATTTGCAAACATCTCTCCACATTCGTACTACACACTCGGGCTCTGCTGACTATAGATCACAATTGAATTTATACACAGTGATAGTATATCAAAGAATTTTTCCTTCAAGGAGCTATATAAAGAGTAAAGCCAACAGAAACGGACACTTGTTTTTGCCTGTTTAGAAGCATTAGCAATAAGCTCCTAATTACAACATTGGTCAAATGAAGAGCTGGGTGGGAAGGGCACAGAGACAGGAATAGCTTGAAAGAAAACAAAATAAGAACAAGCTGACAGAATGTTCCCTTTGTTTTAGGTACAAAATGTTAAGCATTCTTAAATACACAGAAGAGAATTACTCGTGCTAAGACAGCATCAGCCAACAAGTATTCTGAATCACTCCTACTGAAATGAACAAATAGTGCCGTTGCAAAGGATCAGGAAAAGATTTAATATTGATGCCAAGCTTTGTAAAAGGTAACACTGGTGACTAAGATACCTACAAACCAGGCCAACACCAAACCCAGAACACACATAGAGCAACTGATGAGTCTTCAAACAAAAAGGACAGCTGCACATTCAAGCTGATCATTATTTTTGTCAAGATATCCAGATATACGTGGTTGTTAAAGTACCGGTTGTTAAACCCAGTCTAGCGGAAGGTATCCCTGCCCATGGCAGCGGCTTGGAACTACATGATCTTTAAGGTTCCTTCCGACCCAAACCATTCTATGATTCTAGTTCAATTGCTGAAAGTACTAACAAAGACAAAAGACCTGATGACTTCAGCGTTGACCAACATTTAAGAAATTGCACTACAAAAAAGTAACCTATTAATGCAACACTGGTAAGCTACCAGAACTAACAGATAATTGTAAAAAGTCATCCTTCCGTTTAAGCAATCCCACAAACACCTGATTCTGGTCCAATAAAAACAGTGAATAAAAAAATACAGATGATCAGAAAAGCCTATACTGGGTGCTATCTTATTTAAAGTCTTTATCAGTGACCTGGGGGAAGGAAGAGAGTGTACTCTTGCAAAATTTGTAGTGGGGCACCAAACTGGAGCCATGGGGAAAGAGCTAATGAGTTCAAGGGCAGGGCAGCTATCCAAAGCGACCTAGGCAGGATGGAGTAATGGGCTAACCAGAGCCATACAAAATTCAGCAAGGACAAATGCAAAGTCCTGCGCTTGGAAAGGAAGAAGTTGTCGCCAAGGTACAGGCTGGGGACTGACTGGCTGGGGACCAGCTTTGCTGAGTCGGACCAGGAGGTTTTGGGAGACAGCAAACTGAACCTGCACCACCAGTGTGACCTGGCATCCAAGAAGGCTGACATTCCTTTAGTCAGCATGGCCAAAGGAATGGGGACAGCGGACAAAGTAAAACAAGCTCTGGCTTGAAATTAGGAGAAGCTTTTTCCTCACTAGAGCAGCCAGGCGTTGGAAAAGGCTGCCGTGGCAAGCTGTTCAGTCTCCACCCTCGGAGGTTTGTGAAGGCAGACTGAATAAAGCCCTGAGCTACCTGGTGAGATCTCACACCTGATCCTGCTTGGAGGAGGAGGTTGGACAAGATGACCTTCATTGCAATTAATCTGGCAGGTAGTAATAGCAAACTACTCTGTTAGACTAGTCTATTTTTATAAAGTTCAGTAGATGCTCGTTAGAATTCTACAAAAATATAAGAACAAAACAAAACACATTTACACCTTTGCTGCATCTGAAACAGTGTCCCAGTTGCCTCCACTTAAAGAGAATTTTCCACTGCCTATCCGTACCAGGATCTCCTCTGGAGTATCATTAGGACCATTCGCAAATGGAGTATAGCTGTGGAAAGAAAAAAAACCCAAACCACCTTGTTACTAGGCAAGAAGCTGGTAAATTCTCGTGAATCATTCTGAGCAGATATCCCACTGCTGACAGAAATACACTAAATACTATTAAATACTTTTTATATTAGCATTTTATCTTCAAAACTAGATTTTCTTCTACTCATAATTGTGGTTCATCAAGTAGAATAAATGGGAAATGCGGAATAAAAAAAAAATCTTAAGTTAGTATCTTAATAATGCATTCTCATCAGTGCAGACTTTCAAGTTAAATAGAAGTGATTCATAAACACAAATTACGCTAGATTACCAAAGCATGTGAAGTAATCCAAACCTGGAAGAGTACCCTAACAGAATGGCCCAATAAAGCTGGAGTAGTATCATGTTTAGGGTATGTGCATTTAATTAGAGAATGAGCACAATGTATACACATCTATCATTTGTGGAAAAGCTACAAAAAAATTGTCATGACAGGTTTTTTACTTAAACGAGTTTGTGAGACTTAAACCACAAGATCATTTGTTTTGGAGGGTTATAACAGTTTACAGAGTTTCCTGTAAATTTGGCTTCCCTTCTACAAATCCTACTGCGACAAACTTGGAAGAACTAAATTGGCAAATATGAAAACTGATCTGAATCACTTAAATACACCTTTTAACAATGTCAAGAGTATTATCATGTTCCAGCATCTCCTACGATTATACGCTAGCACCAAGTTAGTTTTAACTATAAAACCCAAACCTTACTCTGAGTAAGTAGTTACATCATAACACGCTTTAGATTTCAAATTAGCTTGCAAACAATAATAATTAAGCTTAATGCATTCTATCTTTGTACTTTGAAAGCTCTGCATGGAAGAAAGTTCAACCAGCATCATCAACAGAGGTTTAGGAACTATCCCTGCCAGTTAGTCCTACTCTTTCAGTTGATGAGCTTAAGAGGAACAAAATGCAAAGATGGGAATTCATGCTGGACCATTCCTCCCCCATCCTTTTGACCTCCCATGCCTTTTGTTCGGACAATGTTTCTCAAGTGTGCAGGCAGTATACTGTCCAATATCTGCATACTTGCACTTAAATCATACAGCAATCTGAGTTTTGATGACGAAACTGTAATAGTGGTGGTGATTTTACATGGAGAAATACAAATTTATCAAGAGGAACAGTTTCCAATAGATAGCTTTCATCGACAAGACAAAAAAATCTGCTATTTTTGTTAGAGAAAAATTCAGAAAACCTTTTATCATTTGGCCACTAAGCACTTCATAGTGCTTAATAACAGTTGAGAGGTTTAGAAAACTTAAGAGGTTACAAGCCAGTGTGTTCTACAAAAGGGCCAGGAGTCAAGCCTATGAGATACAAGAAGGTAGACTACAACGGTACTAGGGTGAGGAGGACAAGAGGCAGAGGGAGAAAAAAAACCCACCACATACTTTCATAGAGACTAAATTCTCTCCTGGAAACCGGGGAGAGTCTTTGGCACCCCTCAGTCATGCACTCTAGAAGAGAGAAGCCTTGAACCTAGCTGTAAGATAAGCCTAGTTTATGTATGCGTTTACTTATAGCTTCCTGTTCCACCTCAGTGTCTTTGTCATTCTGCATTCAAATCAATGAGGTAATACCTTACAGTTTTAAGGAAAGCACGGATTCATGCAGCATGCTGCAATTTTAGGTAAACAAAAAAGCTAAGAAATATTTCTCACCCTGCCAACATTGTGTAAAGAAGAACACCCAAGCTCCATATGTCACAAGCAGCATCATATCCCTGTCTCATGAGAACCTATAAAACGAAGAGTGTTAAAGCCTTTTCATGTATTAAAAAACCCACCCCAAACCAATACCACTACACAGCCTAAGGAAGGGTAAGTCAATCCCAGGATAATTTCAGAGGTTTGATTATTTATACAAGTTACAGTAACTATCAACAATATTTCTTGTTCCCAGAACATCAGCTCTTAAGATTCTCAACAGGCTTACACCTTATTTGACAGTGGATTCTGCCATTTTTAAAGCAGGTTTATTATAAACATATGCACCAGTGTTTAAAAAGTATACATAATTATAGGATATAATTATAAATTACATATATTATAATAATATATATAATTATATAATATTTAAGAAAAACTAGCAGAATTTCCCTCCTCCTCTTTTTTAAGCACTGCTAAAAAGTGTAAGTACTTGATGCATGAAAAACAGTATAGAGAAGATGCATGGCAGCTCAAGATACCTCTGGTGCCACAAAGTTTGCAGTGTAGCACGGAGTTAGTAGTAGTCCATTTTCTCCTCGAAGTTGTTTTGCAAATCCAAAATCACAAATCCTGATAGAATCAGCATTATTTGAATCATCCGTATATAAAATATTACTAGGTTTAAGGTCTCGATGCACTACCTTTAAACAAAGAAATTTTCAAGTCTATCATTTAGAAGTTGCACATACATTTGTTCGTACTTAATTCGCAATTTATAAAAACTATTCTCTAGATTAATATACTTATTAACAGTTCTACACAATTACGTAAGTTTCAAGTAATAAAAAATTCTAGCTCAAGTAACGTCATAAAAAAGCTTACTGGCTCATAATGTAACTGGAACTAACATAGCTGTTTGCCAAGAAGCAGAAGAGAACAAATATCTGCCGTTTCATACACTGTAAAAGTAGAGTCAAAAGAGCTTGCCAGAATAACAGGATGAGTTGTTTACATTACTCACCTTTGTCATAAAATACTCAGAAATCTTCTTTGCTTCTGCCATAAACACAAGCCAACCAAAGTATGTAACAAAAGGCGTTTGTTAAGAAGTGTGAAAGGAGCTACGTCATAGAAGAAATTACTCACTCCTTGGCAGTGCAGGTAGTCCACGGTCTTGGTTATAGTGTATAATACAGCGCTAGCCTCTCGTTCCGAGAAGAACTTCTGTCTGAGAATTCGATCAAGCAGCTCTCCCCCTTTCATCAGTTCAGTGACAAGGTATATGAATCTACCGTCATCATACACCTGATGAGAAGTTTAACAAGTGCAAACACATATAAATACACACATATATATTAAAAAAGATAATCTTTAATTATACATCCCGATAAATGTGAAAATTACAGTCAGATTGTTCACCTATTCACATATGAAATTAAAGCACAAACAGCAGAGACTGAAAAATTTAATTCTGCAATTCAGGAGCCTTAAAGCTTATGCGTCATTCTGTGAGATGCTGAGGTAATCGATTGCTAATTCATGACTCAGAATTAAATTTTTCAGTCTAGGAACTTCTGTTGTAAGAGGAGAGCAGCCCACTCCCTATTGCTCTTCCCCTCCATGGACAATTTTTAGCTGCTGACACTTTGCATATACAGGACAACATGCAACTGCTTTTTCAGGTTCACATTACCAACACATTAGCTACTCATTTGAAGTAAGAGAAAATAGGACATTTCTAACCTTTACATCATTTCTCACTTCAAGTTCACTGAACAGCATTTAGAAAAACTTAGTATCATGATAATGTCATATTTTGAAATACTCAACATTTTACTATATATATTTCTCTCCTAATATATTTTACTATGTAAAAGAACTCTAATAAATCCCAATAAACGCCTTACATCTATATTTATGTGTTGACCACCGTGTAAAAAGAGGTAGCAGAGAAAAAGAGGTACGTACATCTTTTAAAGTAATAATATTTGGATGTTGTCCATAACGCATGAGAATCTCAATTTCTTCTGAGGGATCCCTCTTACTTTTATCAATTATCTGCAAAATATAGCAACAGGAAAAACAACTTGGCTAAACAAAGTCTATTTAATGAAGAAATTTTTTTTGTATTTATATTGTCACTTCAATAGAATAAAAAAATTTCGAGTGTTCATTACTTCTTGCTAATCATGACTAATTCACCTTCCAGCTTCACATCCCACTGCTTATTCATTTCTTGCTCTATCCTTGCTACCAGTTAAAACTGTATCATTAATGCAGTCTGTTCTGCTCCAACAGACAAGGAAATCCAACGGACTGCCTGAAGCATCACGACTTCCCTGCAGCCCAGTTCCACCCTTGTGGATCTTTATTTCAGGTGTGCTCATCAACGTACAGTGTTTTCAGGACCTTCAAGATTGTAACTGCAAAGACAGTTCTTCGAGGCCATAACTTTACCCACAAAAAGAGCAGCTATAGAAGCCGATAGACAATTTAAACGAAGAAAACACTGGTTTTCATTTCTCACAGCATATAAACAGCTACACTAACTAGATTCATGCATTTAAATTTACAAATCTACTACACAATTTCAGAACTGTCACAGTGCAATTTATTTAAAGTACCTTCACAGCAAACTCCATATTTGTAGCTATATGTATACATCGTTTGCAAACCGAGTAGGAACCAACACCAATATCTTCCTTCAGCTCGTATACATCAGTAAACTGTGCGCTGTTTCCATGAAGTTGCTTTAAAAACAAACACATACAAGCTGTCATCTAAAGCAGCAAGAGGCTCTTTGCCATAATACCGTTTCCAACAGCAAAAATTTCTTCTGCCTGCCCATGCTTTCTCTTTTGAATTCTGCCTCCAGAAAAACAGCAACTCGCTTCTTAAAATTTAAAAATACCCCATGGAAGCATTTTAATAATGCACATTTTATAATAGTCTCCCCAGCCAAAAGAAGAACAGACTGTAAACACTAAATATTGTTCAATCTTTGGCATGTCCAAAAAGTTTCCCAAAAAATAAAATGTTACCTGTACTATGGGCAGTATATTGGTGAGGGGTGATATTTTATGATCTTCTACAGTAGTAGTTGCAACAAAACTAAATCCTTTGAAGAGCTGATGTGCATTCGCACTAGGTGGGACTCCCGGAGAATCTGTCGGCATACACATCTGATTAGCACGGCTAAATCCTAGCAAGGCTATTTTTTAACATTCAGGAGAGATTGTTGTAAGAAATATTTTGAGGGAAGGGAAGCAAACAAGGGCAACACTAGATGTTGACTAAGGCTTTTAATCAGTTACCTAACTTCTCTTACTTCAATAACACACACAAACCAAGTATTCCTGGGTTTTATCTAAAACTGCAAAACACTGCAGGAACTAACGTATGAATACATGTCTTTAGGAAGAAGTTTCCTGCGGCACAACACTGCCTATCAGAAAGCCAGACCATCGGCTCATGTTCAAGGACTGCATCACAAAGAAGAGTGCCCACAGATTTTGCTACTTCAGTGGTATACACACTGCTGGCAAGGCAGAAGTGAGGCAATACAAGAATATTAAATTAGTAACACTACCGAATAATTAGAACTAAATTTTCCTCAGATGATATTACATGCACCTCTGAATTCACTGTCTGAAATCTCACAGAAAGCACAGCTTGATAATTCTGTGTAGACTGTTAAGAACCATAGACGTTCTCCAAACAAACATGACAAGTGGTTTTAAAAGTTGGATGCAGCAGTAAAGAAAAAAATTCACAAAAGAAAACCTGACGTGAAACTTGAAGCATACTAATCAGTAAGTGTTTGCACTTAAGTGTCTTTGTTTCCAAGTTCAGTTACTTGGAAATTTCCTTTGTGCAATAACCTAAGGGATATTTTAAAGATAAATTTTCATGTGCTTCTTTAAACTATTCAAGATGTCTTCGCAACTGACCTAGTAGTACAGGTACCCAGTCCACTGTACATTTTCCCCACCCTCCTCTACCTTTGAATCACCGTTTTCTCAAGAGTAAGGTCAAATCCAGCATGGGTAGCGAGGGGAACAGTTCAATGAAAAAATTACTGTAATGCTAGTTTTAAGATTTAATTTTAATAATGATAATAACAAATAGGCTCAAGAAAGTTGGAACACTGTTGCACCTTTTCCTTTTAATTTTGTCACTGGCTTTTTCTCTTCGTAAGCTTGTTGTTGTAACATTAATTTGACCCCTCTTGTCCCATGAACCACACCAATTTATAACCATGCACAATTACCTTTTGGTGTTTTTGCTGTGAATTCTGGATCAAAACAAAAGGTATCTTCTGGCTTTCCAGAAGCGGGTTTAAATGGAGGTTGAATTTCTCTTCTGAACAGTTTCTGAAGTAGGACAAAATCATACAATTATGAGTGAATGAAACTTCCATGGCTGCTGTAATTTTGCCAAGCTAAAGGGAAGGCAACTCAAATGTTATCATTGTAGCAAAACACTTTTCTGAAAGAGTGAATAATATATAGCAAGTAGCAAACCACAAATATTTATGGAAAAACAGTTACTTTCATGTACCTTTGATTTGAAATGCTATGGGAAATGTTATCAAACAAGTCAAACAATACAAAGCTCTCTTTCCTTATTCTTCTGAATCTGCCTCATCTAATAGATCTCTCCTTTTAAAACTACGACAGAAGGCTGCTACTTGTCACTAGTTCATCTTTGGCTTATTCAGAAGAACATGGAACAGCCACAGAGCACCTTACCTTCTATCATCATCTCAGACCTGATTCACTGCTACTTTGTCACCACCCTGAAAAACCCACCCCAAAGGGAAGATACGGAATACAGTCTTTCCCTTCCCGTTCTGCATCCCAAAGACCTCTCACAAGTGACAAACCTGTCCCTCTTAGCAAGGAACTGCCAAAACTCATACAATCATTAAGGTTGGAAAAGACCTTTAAGATCAAGTCCAACCAATGTTGAAGCCCCATTCAAAGTTCATGAAGTTCTGAGAACATTTTCTTGGCATTTCAGACCTATTTTTTGCAGTTATTTTAATTTAATCTTCCTGCACAAGAACATGCAACGTATTGAAATTATAAAAAAACCCAAAACAACCAACGAAGGAGGACCTGAATTTATCCCAAAGAAATAATGAGATAAAATACAGAAGTGGTCAACACCACCACCATAGTGAAATAAATACAAAGCACTGCCAACTAAGAAAAGGAAAAAAAAAGAAAAAAGAAAAAAGAAAGAGTTGGAACTGCAGATCTTTCCGAATTCCTTGCTGGTATGTATTTCAACATCATTCCCTTAAAAAAAAAGTAGGTAAGACAAAACAACATAGCCTTCTCTCACAAAGTGTACTCACATGAAAAAGTGAAGTTTTGCTGTTACTGAAAACTCTACTTGCTAATCAGGACTCTATGGTAGATGCTGCATAAACACAGCTAGAGAACCACCTTCTCAGAAGTAAATACGAGAGATAAAGAGAAGGATAATGACAACAGGCTTTAAAGAAACAGTTGAGCACAGTATTAGCTAGCATTGCAGGTGGTCTTGTCAGCACAGCAACATCTTATTTTTGATGTCTGTCCTTTTGTGGGCATTATAGCAAAGGAGTGTTTTCAGAGTGGATTTATTTGATATAGAGCATCTTGGTTTTGAGAGTGTTTCTGGGAAACACGTCCCAAAAGATTAGAGAACCGCAGAGGAAAGGCATCAAGGTGCTTGTTAAAAATTTAAGCAAGCAATCATGAACTCGTACAGACTTCCGATCATCTCAGAGCACCAGAGTCAATACTTCAACTGTGAATGGAATATGACTGATAAAATAAGAATGTGCTAACTAGAGAAAAGTCAAAGAGAATTATGGTCACAGCAAGTTTTTGTGCCCTGCATGGAAGCACCAGATGAACACTTACTGAAGAGAAGGATTCTTGCACACTGGGAACACCACCATCCTCTCCTAACTACAAATGCTCTAACAGACAATTTGAGTTTTAGAATGCTGCCACTCTTAACCATTCAAAAAGTAAATGTACAATTTATAATTAATACTCTCTATACCGTAAATACTACAGCTCCAGACACCAACGAAGATTATACTAGAAGCCAGAACGTAACAGTCAGCGGTACTGCAGTGTTTACTGTACCCTATTCAGATGCAAATACTTATAAGGTTACAACACATAGAAAAAATAAAAACAGCTTTATCATTCAGATAATTTTGTACTTACATTCCAGTCAACAGTAGAAAAAAAAGGATGTCTCTTGATTTCTTCAACACCATCTGAACCAGCTCCTGAACAAAGGAAATACTGTACTTAAAACACTTTTGGGTAAAGTCTTTGAAGAAGATTGCACTAAAAATCAGTTAATTTCTAAACATTTTGCATAGACGTGGTTATTTGAGGGAATTTTAACTACAGAAATATTCCAAGGATGTAAAATACTCAACTAAGTAGTGTACACCTCAGAAAGGCAAAGTACAAGAATCCCATGAATACAGAGTGTTGATATTCTTTGCTCTGACACTGTCAAAGCTTTGGCTCACTGCAAAGAGTCACCGGTCCAAGAAAGTAATTGTTCATTAGCTAAACACAGGAAGTCATGATCCAGGCTTGTTGGTATCTAAACCCAAATCTTACTGACCATCCCGAGCTTGAAAGTCTCTAGCAGCTATTGTCTTTAAATAATCAACTCAACCCAACTACTTTTATTTCAAAGATCTAAATAAATGAACCAACCTAATCTATTTGATGGGTTCCTTTTAAACAACATCCTCAGAAGACTTTGTGCTTCAGGGCTGAGGAACTGAGGCATTCCAAGTTTTGCTCTAAAAGAAAACAGAAAACAAGTAAGAGGAAGAAATGTGTCTCACTAAAAATTGACTACCGAGACTTTGTTGCACAATTTGATGGATCAAGGATCTATTCCAAAGTCTTGTCGAGTGCACATATTTAACTCATTTAAGTTCTCATTATATGAGTGGTTTTCAAAAAAAGTAGCCCACCAAAAAAAACAAACAAGAAACACACCAGACCAAAAACCCCTAACCGCACCCAAGCCCCCAAAACAAGCTTTATGCTAAAATAGAGTAAAACAATTATCGCAGGACATTAAGTATTTTCAAAGATATCTTCATGTCACCAGGAAGTTATCACCAAAATACCTCTACCAGAATCAACACCAGAAGAGACTCACTAAGTCCCAAATTACTTGCCCTTGAAGTGATTGCTGAGATTCCTCTTGAAGAAAAAGCCTCAAGGAGTAGCTCATTAAACTATCATATAAAGGCTACTGACTTTACCAAGCTTATTTCATGAAAACAATTACGCTAAGGCAAGAAATTCTTCTGCAGAACTGTAGCATCACTTAGAGGTCCAAGTGAAGCTAGTGACCCAATCCATCTGCTTTCACAGGTAATATCATTATAACTCATACTCAGGGTAAGTTCAAACTGCCATGTTTGTTGGTAAAAACAGAACTTCTCCCTCATCCTGTTCCCTGACTATCACCCCCTCAAAAGGCTCAAGGCTCTGCATGTGGTCTAAAGAAAATTCTTTGTTAACTAAGCACAAAGAAAGACGAGAATGTATTTGCCCAACAACTTCACTTACTAATCACCAGTTTACCCAGTTTATCTTGTTAGACAGCTTCTGTTGTAACTGAGGTAATTTAATAGGAAAAATGTGAGCACATAAGTGCACTCTCCCTACAAACCTACACAAAGCGAAACCTGATCAACTATTGCTTACAAAATAAGGTATGCTGTAAGAGTAGCAAGAGCGTATAACAACAACATGAGTGGTAAATAATGCCGCTCTAATTCACTGCACTGTTTTTATCTTTATTATACACCTACAATTAAAATACAAGTTAATCCCCAAGATTTTAATTCCTGTAGATACTTAATAGCATTTGCCTGGTCTGGGATCTAAACCTTATTGGATAGGGCTTGACTTTTTTGTTTCTGTTCAAGCTTAATGCTCTTCAAGCACACGGAGTTATAACAAGGTGCTAAAACATGTTTAAAATTACATTTTCTGACTTTCCAAAAAGTAAGAAGATATACTTACTTCAGTATCATATTCATAGTTTCGTTTCGATCTTTACCTTGAAATGGTAGCGTACCAGTAAGCATTTCAAACTGAAAAGAACAAATGTTAATCTAAATCAACACATCTTCCGCCAGCTGCTCAAGCAAAGTGCTAAGTACTGTACTCTTCCCTATTGCTACGTTAGACATCCTGGCTTGCTCTTTTAAAAGATTATCAAAAAACTTCACAAATGTAAAACGTTGTTTTCATCAGCAGTTTACACAATAACAACAGTGGCATGTGTAATGTAATGATGATGCAGGACTATTTGACATCCATAAGCTACTTTAATTAAAGTAATAAAAATCCCCTCCGTAACTTAACCTACTTTTAAATGTTGCTGTACTAAGAAAACGGCAAGAAAAATGAATTCTAAATCAGTACTTTACTTTTTACATCAACAGGCATATTTCAGCCTGATGCTGTAACATCTCACAGCAAAGGCGTTAAGTGCTAGCGGTTACTGGCTTATTTCACTGCTCCATTCCCGTACACATTCAATAGGCTTGCTCTTACAAAAATGCAATTAAAATTCCATCAAACCAAGTCTTCAGGGTTTTTTTTCTTTTTTTTCCTATAAAGTGCCATGTGATATAAACATACAAACTGAAGTTTCACACTGACTACAACTTCTCTAAACTACTAATGGACTACAGGTATGATTTTCACGGTTCCTGGTAAGTACTCCTTACTACAACAGGTGAAAAGTAAGTTTTATTCAAATTGCTATTTCAGTAGCAATTCAGTTATGGGATTCTCTCCTCCCCTTACCCAAGGGAAAGGGGGGAAGAGAATTATACCCATAATTAGGTCTGGACAAGCTTATTCTAAACGCGTTATTTCACATTAGACATACGCAGCGTATTTGTGACCTTAAGCAAGGTAAGCAATGAAGCATACAGTACCATGAGAACACCAAAGGACCACCAGTCAGCACTCTGGTTGTGCCCTCGCCTGTTTACTACTTCAGGTGCCATGTATTCTACAGTACCACAGAAAGAATAGGCCTTCTTCTCTTGATCTACTGATTCTTTGCTGAGTCCAAAGTCTAGAACAACAGCATTACAAGAATACAGCCAGTAAAGAACTTTAGAAATAAACAATACTGTATACAGTATTTCAAAATCAAAGAGTTGACAGCTTTTGTTTGCTTGCTTTCAGGAGTGTGATTAGGCCAGCTCTTCATGAAACGAGAAGCTGCAGATACCATTCTATAATAAGCCATATTAAACTGACGATTAGCCATCAACATCGCCACTCAAAATAACAACTCTATGTGAAATATTACACATTTAGAGCCTTAAGATAATCAAAAGTTCTAATTTACTCTGTTTACTGCCTGCTTATTCACACAAAATATCAGATACACATAAAAACAGGTTTCAAGAGAACAAAGTCTGCATGCTCTAGTATGACTGAATGATGAATAAATAAAATCAGACTAAAAATAATGTTGTTATATAAGACAACATGGTTCTGCAACCTGACTCAAGTTCAGTAAAGAAGAGTCTTGCATGTCTGCTCATTTTATTCCCAGGATGGTTTTTCTTGTTTTAACAGTGCCATTGAATACACAAGTCCTTGATATTAGTTCAAGTCTCAAGATGAGGCTCTCAAGGTTCCCTTTTTTCAAAGGGGCAATGATTGCTAATCAATAACCCCATCAATTATTCTTTCCACCTTCATAAGGAAGTGAGCATTTTAGGATTGAATTGGATTTAAATATATCATGCAGAATTTTAGAAATTATGCATTTTATTAAACATGATTTCCATCACCATTATTCCATCAAATCTTTGAGAGTTTAAAATATCTCATTTTTCTCTTGGAATCTAATAGCATTATTTATAGATCAAAATATATGATGAAATTCATAATAAAAAAGTACCACCTTAAATGCAATGTAAAACTTTCAGAGTTTAAATTTCATAGTAGTTTGTTTTCCAAATAGTCACAGTCTTTTGTATATGCAATTTCCTAGAATATACGTACTTTAACTGTTCCTCATACAACATTTTTCCACAATTTTGTATGCATTTAAAAGTGATAATCCAGGAACACAAAAGAAAGTAGGATTTCAGAAGTCTTATTGTGCACTTCAATATTTTTACGCCAAAAGCACCTCTGCTCCCTTTCAAAAGTCTCAGTCAGCAACTTTTAGCTTGGGTCTAACAGCTCTTGACCTTCAGCTAAAAGGTGTTTCACAATAAATCTTGATACAGCTCACTTTCTAACCTGAACAGGAGATAGTTTTAATTACTAACACACCACCACCTGAACTAAAGTTCCTTTAAAACACCCATTCAATGTCTGGTTTTGTTTTTTCAACTACATTTCTTCTATTTTAACCACAGCAATTAGGATCTGCACTTTGCAGCAGCAAGACTGCTGCTGCAACTTAGCCAACATGAAAACTAACTCTCTGTCTGAAATATCTAAATAAGAGTACTTAATACTATGTAAAGAATCATTATGCAGAGAAGGGATACAGATTTATTATAAAAAGTCTGTCCAATAGCAAAATTCCTAAACAGCTGAGTACTGACTCACACATACTCCAGCCATCAGTATACACATTTTAGGCTTATAACTAAAAGCTTATACAGAAATGTGTTCAGAAAACGCTATACTAATAAATGTTACCTACCTGTTAACTTGATATGTCCTGCTTCATCAAGCAAAATGCTGAAAATTAAAATTCACATTCACCAATACACATAAAGAGGAATGTTTACATATAACATTTAAAATACAATAGTCAACAATTTTGATCTCCAACTTGTGTCATTAATTTAACAAAAAATTATTATTTCAGTTAAGTCACAGGTATATTTTTTACATTTTGTTTGTTTAGGTAGTCTAACAAAATATTTTTAACTTTTACATCACTATAGTGGAAAACGCAAAGCAACAAGCAAAATACACGTAATAGTGGTAAAATACATTTTACTTTACTTTTCTGGCTTCAGGTCCCTGTATACAATTCCCAAGCTGTGAAGGTGATCCAAAGCAAGGGCCAGTTCTGCGAGGTAGAATTTCACATCTTCCTCTGTAAACATAACCTAATAAGAACTGTATAGATTTACCTTCTGATCTTGTCTTCAATTTTTAAAACTGCAATCTAAAAAAATTGTCCTGTCTGCCTAAATTTCAAAATACTTTTTAGAAGTACCTTATGAACTCATAATTCATGAATTCACCTAGCAGAAATGATATGCTAATACAGGCTAACCATCAAATATACAAAAGAACTACTTGCAATACTTAAACACAATCATCAGCAGTTATTGCAGAGCATTAGCTAAGTTTTAAGGTAATAAATTTAATTATACTTGGTGTTACTGACTACCAGCACTTCTCCTCCCTCAATCCTCCATAGGCTGCTTTCCACTGCATCATAAAATTTAGTATACAACTGCTATATTGGGTGACTGTCTCTGGATCCACATTACCAATATTTAGAAAAAAAAGTAGAAATAATTTAGAAAAAAGTATGCCAAAACAACACCATTTTGTGAAAATAACAATGATGTGAAAATCTGCAGTGGGAGTTGAAGGAAGAACCTACTCTGTTCTTAGGAAGAGAAACTCAAAGAACTCTAGTGAGATAGTGAAAAACCGACTGACCTTGCATATGAAGCAATATGATTTCTATCCTAAATACTCAACAAGTTGCTTCTAATTTCATGTACAAGAATCATATCTGCTCTGGCACTTGTCATGTTCTACAAGTTACTGGAGAAGCTAGTAATCTTTAAAACCTCAAATTCAATTTCAGAAATTAAGTGAACCATTCCCTTATTTGTTGAAAGCACCAGGCACAGGGAGAATGGCAATCTCAACCGCGTTGTAGATAGCTAACAAGACTTCAATTAACTGAGCTTGCTGATTTAGTAGTAAACGGATCAGTACTTTGAATTGCACATGTCATCTGTTCTACTGGCAACAGAAATATGCCTAATTTCCATAGTGACACGTATGAACGTCGTATGAAGAATAAAGCTGTTATGCTACATAACGTTTCACCTTGAGGTTATAAAGAGCAATGTCGACACTGTTTTTCATCTATATCCAAAAGGGCAAGAGGAAATCTTGGATATCATTAGTCCTCGGAATAGCCAAAATGCAAGTCTCAGAATACCATGATGCGAAATGGTAATCTACAATCTCCCAATAATAATTTCATTTAAAAGGGCTTTCTATGTCAAGTCAAATACAATGCAAGTCAGCTTCATTAAATTTTACCACTGAAAGCTTCATTAAATACTCATTTCACTTCCACAGCTAAAACTCCCATACCCACATTAGAATTTAAAGACCAACAAAAGTGTTTTAATAACCTCGAACTAAACCCAATTAATTTAAAATAATCCTTGTGTAAAAAGTATAGAATGCCATGGGGAATTTGCCCTCACGTGTCTTTGTTTTACCATGCACTTTTGAAGTTCTCTTGAAAATAAAAAGGTCTGATATTTTTCTTAACTATATACACAGTTAAGTATTTAAAAGCCATCATAGAAGGTAACTGATGTCTTCCAGAAAACAAGTAGAGACTTAACAGTAAGAGAACTTCGTTATTACTTCTTCATTCCCAAAGGGAATACATACCCCTTTCAACCACCTAACTAGTATTATTATGGACAGACTTGCACCCCTTATTTAAGAATGCTGCGTACTCTGTTCCCAGCTGTGTTAGTGCAAAATAATAGTTCTTCCTGCTATACCAGTATTTCCTCTGTAATTAGACATCCTATATCAAAGCAGAGATTGACCCCTTTACAAGTCAGTCGGTTTGTTGAAGCTTTTAACCTCTATTTTAGCCTCAAGGTTAATTAATTTTGAACTCAGTTCTTAGGCATGATCAGTTTTACCAAGGTCAGCTCTTTATAAAAAGGAAAACAAAACCTCCTTTAAAATCTTCCTTCTCTTTTGCCTGTTCCTAAAGTAAAGCTCTATTTTTTCAAAAAGTATATGGGGGAAAAAAACCAACTTAGCTCATGGCCTAACATGCTGAGGATACAACCACCTCCTTCATGCAATGAAAAAAAAAAAAATCAATCTGATACCCAGTTTTCTCATTTAAGAAAGTGGCCTCTCCTACGCATTAGCAATATAAATGTATTCACACTGGTGAAAACACCAAAAAGCTCTCTTACTGTGAAGTTGTTGAGAAATTGCCATTAATAATTTAGATCTTTATGAAAGGCTTGCCAAAAGAAAATAAAAGTCTTATAAACATGGTCATAATACTTAAGGTAACATACAATAAATATTTGATGACAAATGTTAAAAAAACCCCAACAAACAGGCTGCACCATATCCCCTCCTCTGAAACTCTCTCTCCAGGAAACAAAAATAGAAATGAAAAATTAAAGTTACAGTTGCATGCCAGTGTTAGATGAAGGGGAGTGGTCTCAAAAATACTCAATGTTCACACTCTGTCAGATTAAGCATTAGGATTTGTATTACAGCATTATGAAATTTTACAATGCAGCAGAAATCTCTTACAGATGAGGGCTTCCAGGAGCACCTAAGCTGACTATAAGCATGAGAACTATACATCCCCTTTCTTTATTGCTAAATCTTAATTTACTTCAGTTAGGTTTCCAAGCAACAAAATATTTTTAGACAAAAGAACTGTACTTTGCAGATACCAAATTAAAACTTAGGCTACTAATCAATATACGCTCATGTTTCTTAAGGTTATAGAATATATTCTAGAATATGTAAGGGAAGCCCACCTAAGTTATTAAAAACTTGCCTATGACAAGAAATATGGGGGGAAACAGCTACAGAAGACAATCCTATACTGACCAAAAAAACCCTCTGTCTAACACCGAGTGGAGATAAAATTTTAGGTACTTACCTCTTTGGATAATCGCGTGAATACATCTCCTCCCCTGAGAAAATCCAATATTAAATATAGCTTCCCTTCAGTTTGAAAGGCTTGAAAAAAATAAAGATGAAAAATCAACAGTTGTGTGACAAACATGATCTACAAAACATATCTGAATGCTTTTACAACTTGGAAATTTCGGTGAAAGGCAATACTTTTGTTATGGAACTGAAATACTTCACCAGCACACGAGGTAATTTATTAAACGATTACTTGCTTCTTCACAGAAGACAATCTTAATCATACAGGAATATTAAAATATTGTTCTTTTATTTCTCGTTTGTCAAACAGGGAATCATCAAGTATGTGAATTACTGTGTTTTGGTTTTACTCCATGAAAGGTAAAAAAAAAAAAAAATCTCTGCAGAACTTGTAAAGTTTCCAAACCTTTATTTGCAAGAGGACCTAACCTAAAACTTTTATATACATGTGTATTTACACTCCTTTTTTAGCCCTGTGATTTAAAGCTGCTAGAATCTAATTTGGACACTAAAATGGACACCACAAAACTGAGAAAGAACAAGATCAGCTATGCCCTCAAATAATGAAAGAAACTGTAGCAAAAAAAAAAAAATACCAACCATAGTGCAGTTTGACGATAAATGGATGATTTACTTCTACTAATATATCTCTCTCCATTTTTGTACGAACTCTATCCCGAACTGAGGAAAAAAAAGAAAAGACTAGTATGAAACAAATTTATTTGGTGTAATACAAATGGAGCAGAAATTAGCATACGGAAAGTCTTTGCTGTATAAAGAAATATTTTTCCTTGTTATCTTATTTGTTTTTAACATTTAAGTCTCCCACAAAACACATGCTTTCAGACAAAGCTCTATTTTACTTCTTACCTGCCCCAGCTTCCTTATTGTCTTCATTTTTTCCCAACACATCCCAGTATTTTGTGACAACCCATACTACTTTCAAGAAAAAAACCCTCACATCTACATTTCCAAGCAGCTAACTGCAACCTCTGAATTAACTATCTGTACTGAACATATATTTTCTGTCTTTTAAGATTACTTTTTCCTCTTCAACTAGTAACAGTCCCTATTTACACACAGTGGACTTGCATCCATTAAAGTGTCTTCTGAAAGCCAAAACAGTAAGTTAGCTTGCTATGGCACCTATAACAGGAGGGAATGACTTAATTTTAACCGCAGTAGAGCTCTAACTTAACAAAAGACAAAAGGAAAATTGTTTATGAAATTAATTTGTTTTAATATAATGAAAAGACTAACCAGAATTAAATAATGCAATTTTAAACTTTGAAAGAGTACTTTTTACCACATAATTAAAACTATCTGGCCAGATTTAAATAATTCTTAAACATGAACTTACAAGTTACTCTAAGAAAAAAGCTACTGTCAGAAGAATTATGAGCTCACCAAACAATATTTAAGATTTTTAAAAAAGCTTTTAAAAGAAGTACTTAAAAGACTCATTTAAGAGATACAGGTGCACCGAAACCCATTTTCTGGAGTTCCAACTCAAAAGATACACGTACCTTTTAAAGAAGCTTTTTTCAATACTTTCATTGCATAAAGCTGCCCAGCATCAGGACCAATTATTTTCCGTACAAGGAAGACCTGGTAATATAAACCCCATTTTTGTAGTTACTGCTAAAAATATTTTACATAAAAGCTATATCGACCTGACTGAAAAAGCATTACTACATATTTACTTTTAACTTCATTACTACAGAGAAAGAGATAGCATGTCCCTAGTCCCATCCCATTCATCCAAAACTCCAAGGAATAAAAAGATGCCAAATATTCAGAAGTCTTTTTGCATAAGCAAGCTTAGTAATCAAATACGCAACTACCACAAAGCATTTGCAAACCTATTAATGTCAGACAGCTTTCAGTGTTCTTTTCTAAGTATATGCCTTTAAAGGAAGGGCAAAATTGCATTCCCTTAATCAGATTAGAGGTCCACGCACCACCAAGCTCTCTGAAGTATTCAGACTGGTCATAAACTATACATTCTTTCCTATAGCAAGCTGTTTAAACAAGTACTTATCAAATAAGTACTTATACACAGGCGTTTATATTACTTTGTTGGAGAATGACAATTCTGTCTGGTCTGCCACCTCCTAAGAGATTCTTGAGGTTTGAGACCCAAGTCTCAAATATGTAACAGGCTATATTAATGAAATCTGTAAGAGTGGTGAGACAAAAGCAAGGAAACCTCACCACCTCACCATTTAAGATCAAAGCACCCTTTCCCTCTGGAATAGCAACTCCAACAGGTTTTTCTACTCTTTTTTTTCCTCCAGAGGAGTTTTAAAGACAGATGGTATATAACTTGACACCAAGAAAAGCATAATATTAGATAAAATAATGCAGTACAAATACGTGTATCTCCACTGACTAATTTTCTAACTATTAGGTCTTTAAATTTACGAAATTGTTTGGTATGTGCTCCTGTTTCTAAGTTGTTGTTCTTGTAATAGCAATTATTAGTTATGGGGAAATGTTTGTACTTTAAAAAATACAAGTCACAAGAGAATGCAAAGAGCTACCCAAAATTGCCTCTCTGATCTTACCTTATTCAGAATTTCATTAGCACTGATTTATTCACATATATACTTTATTAGCAATTATTAAATATCTAGAATTAAAAAAAAATTAAATAAGCTTGTCAAATTTTCAATTCTAGAATCTGAAATTCATATACTGTCACTGACTAAATTGTACAGGGTTGGGAGAGGCGTTGTTTTTGTTTTAAGCTCTAGTTAGAGCAAAAATGTCATCATGTTTCAAGGTTATCGGGCTTTTTGTTTTGTTTAAGTTTTACCCAATGACTGACCTACAGCACTGCTCTCCAATTTTATGATGTTGATGCTCAAATATTAAAGGGACTAATTAAAACACCACCAAATAAGAAAACATCTGTAGATTAATACATTTACAATTCTAAAAGTAAAATATTAGTAAGCAGGTACAATATTTTCATGCTCCATAACTAGCAGCTTGTGAGAATATAAGGAATTAATGTAAAAGTTGCAAATTGCAGCTAATAAGGACCACAAGAGCTGCCACTGAAAACTACTCGAGCACCATCTATTTAATTTGCGGGCAAAGTCTCCATAATCCCACACCTTGCGGAGACGCGACGATCGGTTGTTCCACTGTAAAGCACAATCAAGATGGACACGTAATGCGCAAAGCGATTCACCTAAGCCAACTGAAGACCATTTTCATCAGACCTGGTGCTTAAGCCTCAGAACGTTATCAAAGGCTGAAGAAAGAAACTCAGGAACAGACACCAGGTTTAACCCTTTATTTCTGTGAAGCAGTGTTAAATCCTGCACATACGTCAAAAAGACAGAGGATGGGCTGTAGTACTACACTAGGCCAGAGCAAACAAACCTTGTGTTTGCTAAACCCGAAGGGAGATCCCTGGGAAGCATGAATTGGAGAGAGAAAACACACACCATGAAGGCAACAGCCACGGATCTTCATTGCTTCTTTTCTCTTTTCAACAGAAAACAACAGTATTAGATAAAACCAGCTCTACTCAGATACGCAACAGTTACCATCCAATTCTTAAAGCTGGTTCCTGAACCAAGTACTGCCAGGTTTCAAAACGCTCTAAAACAGACGTCACCCCAAGCTGGCAGCATTCTGAGCCACAGTGTTCCTTACGCTATCAGAAGTCTGAACTCTGTGAAGAATCACTCTGAGTCAGGGCTAAGACGTCTGTACCAGATGTGCTGAACCCTAAGATAGCTTAAGGCATCTCAAGTCAGGAGTAATACATGCACAGAGCCTTTTAGTCTCTGAAGACGGGAAGCGTATGAGGGAGATGGCAACCAACGGTACCAGATAAAGAAATGTTTCTTAGGCTGTAAAACATTAAGAAATATTTTAAAGTCCTGTTGTTAAACTATCACTTATTCAACAATGCCTTCCTAATGTCCAATTCCCTCCCTGCAACTCTACGCAGAGGTTTGCTCCCGCCATGAGATGGACAAAACCAGCGCAAGAACGGGAGAATGGAAACATGTAAAGCTGACTGGCTATTTTTTCTATGTTGCAAGAGCTCTAGTTTAAGAGTCTGCTTTTAAAAAATGTTAGCTTCTTACACACTAGGATTAATATTTCAATTAATGCGCTTCAAACTAGCGACTGAGACATTTGATTTTTAATTTCATTGCTGCAATGTGACACCAGTAGCACATTACAAAAAATTATTTTAACAAAAAACCTGATATATTTCTTCTATAACCTATTTGAATAATTGTTCACTTAGAGTCTTTTAGCTATAGATCACTTGACAAATACAGCAAAATAAAAAAACTGAAATACATTTCTCAGGCTATTTACTTTAATGTTACTTTGGTTCAAGTTCCAAATTGTTACAATCACTCCTCTGTAGCTACACCAACACAGCGTAGATACAGAGGAATGATACTGAAAAATATTGAAAAAAGTCAAACATTCACTGCATATCAAGTACCATTATTAAAAGACAAATCACTGTCTCCTCCATAAGTGTCTATCGATGTTTATTACACCACTGGTGGCTTCTGTCTCTACACTACAGAGGATGCGAGGCAACCTATATGGAGCAGATATTGTTCATTCCGATTCCTCACTAACTGCTGCAATAAGGTCTTGAGGCAATTGAAAATACCATAATTTTATTTCAAATACCCACGGCGTTAGACAAACAGAGCTTGACAACACCAGAGCTGTTGCATAAAAACCGCTCCTAACTCTATAACCCAACTGGTAAAACCCCTTGCTGTTGGTGCTGTTCTCACGAAGCTGCAGATGCCAGTCCAGAAGAACCACAAACATGCCTCTCTGTCCAGTTAAAGCAAACCGTAGCTTTCTATGGCAGACCTCCTAAAATTTGCTACTGACTCACCCTTCTGCTTGGAGACTGAGGCTGCTGCCTCTCTGTCTCCAATATGATTTGGTGACCTGCTATAAACAGTGCTCCCTTGGCACCACAGCAAGATTGGAAAAAGATGAAGTTTGTCAATAACTTTTCAAACATTCCCAGTGACTCTGCTATGGCACTGTCTTTCCTATCCAAAAATGTACTTGAGCTAAGCCCTCCCACGCTGACTGTCTGGACAGGTCAACAGAGACAGACATTGCTTTTCTTCTAAAAAATGCGAAGTCAGAAAGGGCATCGCAGTGAAAACAAAACCAAAAAACCCAACACATCAACGAACAGCAAAACAGGATGGTTAACTTCCTCCAGAAGAGGGTAATTTCCACAAGCATATGTACTTCTACTCAGATTTGTTACATTTATACCTAATCTTGTAGTATTACAGAAATAAGGGAAATAAACCATTAATAAGACAAAAAAGGTTCAAAGTGGACATCAGATGGAAGTAAACTTTGTTATCTTACCTTTCCAAATGATCCCTGTCCAAGAACCTTAAGTAGTTCAAACTGTGCTGGATCTGCTTTCTCACATCCTTCTTTCACATGGTGTGTAATAGGAATTTCTTTCACACTTCCTTCATCCTATTATTTCAAGGCAAAGAAAAATACAACAATGAACAGGCCTGAATTAAGCAACTCTCGTTAGAAGTGCATGTAAATGCCTGCTCTTTGCTTGTTTGATTGTTGGCTTGTTGTTTGGTTGGGTTTTTTTTAAATAAAATACTTGAAATTCTAATAAGGCATAAAAGAAAGCTGTTCAAATGAAGAGTCTTCCCATCCGTCCTTTCTTAAATAAATGCATCTAAAATTTCTAAACTGATGTGAAATTCTCACAGAATACTCGTTCCCTTTTGTCACAAATGTTACAACTACAGCAAAGACTGATTTTCTAACATGAAAGGAATAAATACACAGATTTCTAAACCAAGTCTAAGATGATCCTTCTGTGCTTCACCTCTTAGTTTTCCCAGTGATTATTCTTCTCATCTTGAAACACTATTAATGAAAGCTAAATTGAATTTCATCATTTTAGGTAATTATTGCTTTTCACAGCAGCAAGTAATAAATATGGTCATCCAGTTGCAGCTAAAGGAATACACATAATTTGAAGAGCACAAATAAGATATGAATCATCTTAAGAGCTCCGTGAATTCTTGCATGCAACAGAAGAAACACAGCTCTGGGGTGCAGAGCTCATGGAAAGACCGTCCTGTGTGGAGACCTCCTTCAGAAAGCTGACAGTAATTCTGAAGTAGGTACAAGACTTAGTGTTCTGTTGACTTTTTCCCATTACTCTCATCTTTACCAAAGCAGGGCACAGCAGATACAATTGTGAAAAGAAACATTCACGATGAAAACAAATCAGATGATGTGTTGCAGCTTTTATGGTGTAAGAGAAGTTTCTGTGAACCAAAACAAGTAAGGTGTCAAAATAAGCACCCTTGAAACTACAAGCTATGGGCTAAGGCCTACAACAGCAACTTCAGCTTGCATGTAGACAAGCAGTGGCACCTCTCAGCCCTATCAAGAATACCAATGAACTTGTACATGGCAAATACAACCTAATCACAACAGAAAATCCCATTTGATTTGCGGTACTTTGCTTTTAGGGTATCCAAATGATTAACTGTCCTCCTACCCTCTCTCTAGGTCTTCATCTTGAAAGACTCTCTTGGTAGAGACCAGCAAAACAAACAACCAACCTACAGTGCATCACTCTCCCTCAATGACAAGTACAAACAGCACCAGAAAAGACCTGACTACTTGATGAAACAGTTGGTCTTAGAAAGAACACCATCCTATAGTCAGGCTGACTACAGAAAGTCTTGCTGTCTGACACCATGCATTAAAACTTACATTCGGTGTTATCAGACTTGATACAGCAGTATCTAGATGAAATTCTCCAAGTGGGTTTACATAGAATTTCAGGGCAGAAACCTGGTCATCTAAATATGTACATACTTACTGCAATAATTGAAAAAAGAAAAAAGGGGCAATCATCACACTGAATTAACTGGCCATGCCTTAATTGTTTTGTTTCTCCAGAGGGGGAAAGAAAGAGTTCAAACTAACTCTGAGGATATTCACAAACTTTAGTCCAGCTGTTACCGCATGTGAGTCCTTTCCCCTCCATGTCTTACTTCAGACTCTTTCTGGAAGAGGCCTGTTTGTCCTGCCTGGTTCCCATGCAAAGGTAGGTGTTAACACAAGACACTGCTGGATAACAAAGTTAATTTTTAATTCACACTCTAAGCTACTTTATTTCCCTCTTTGTTCACTAAAAAGCAGCTGACACACTGATGATACAGTGTATACATCCCGACTTCATTTCATCCATCCATCTTGTTAACTATGCATATACGTATTCATAGGAAAGATGCACATATCTTTTCATTTTTATTACAGCTGTATTTTTTTTTAAGCATATGCCTGTAATTTAAGGCAGGTAAGAACACTTGCATTTCAAGTCATCTGACAACAGATGAAAGCAGCAAGTCACCCAATTATACACCAAGTTGTACAACAGACTTAATGGCCGGTTCTTTCTATGAAATATGTAAATACTCTATTTAAAAGCCTTTTTACTTCACCATCCTAATTTGTATTCCTTAGCACTGTGAACCTTTGCATGAGAAAAGATCTTTAGGAGCTCACCTGCTCTTCTGTTTATCACCCACCTTGAGTCACTAGCCTGTGACACCACATGCGATTGCTGCGGAGACTGAGTATTCTAAACGCAAACTGAGGAGAAAAATGTTTTCCATGCAAACAAAGAATAACCTGAGATGTATGAAGTGAGTTATTTTTTATAAAGTGTTTTACCTTCACAAAAGATGTCTAGATATTTTCACCTACTTAACTGTCATTAAAGTACTAAGAATTGGCATGACTGAAGCATAAAAAGACTCTGCATCATCAACAAGAAATGAGCGGGTAAAGAGTTGAACAGATATATAAGCCAGTTTCATTTTCATTTCTAGTTTGGCCTCCATGAACTGCAAATTTGGTTATCTGATTTTGTGCTCTGCTGCTTGAGCAGCAAATCTATTTCAGGGCTCAGGTACCAGCTCCCACTGAGTCTCCTTGCACAAGAGGTAACTAATCCCAGCAGGTTCCACAGAAGACAAAGCACCGAAAGAAATGCCGCAATCGGTTATGGCTTTGTGCCATCTGACTTCGTTACAGCTTGACTGGTATGTAGCTCCAAGCACCTAACAAACAAGCTCAGCAACATCCTTCTGGTTCAAGTACAGTGAAAGATCGAGACAACCCCTTGCTCATCTTTCTTTGCTACGTGTAAGATGACTACGACACTGTTTATTTACTTACTCCACACCAGGAAACGTACAAGCACATGTTTCTACCCGTAAGAGTTTATTCTCCAAATCACTTACTCAAAAAGTTATTATTGCAATACAAAGTAGTGCTTACAGCTGGCAATAAGATCTACTTGATACCTTCCTCCGTGATCCTGTTCAAAAATATATGGATGTGTGTGTTGAAAACTGATGGCCAATTAATCCAGGCAAAGTCAGGCATTTCACCACATCAAGAATTAGCCTGAAGTTTAGTCCAAGATTCAACCAGCATACACAATGCTGACCTTCAGCATTCTCCTATTTACACACATCACCAAGGCACTGGACAGAAGTCATGCTCAACAAGGTTTACCTGGGATATTTCTACATAAAAGTCAAATTAACATGCCAGTGTAAAAATGAATTCTGTTCTAAAATAGCAGGAATTAAGTACCTTCTAGATGAATGTACTTAACTGCATTAAAAAATACAAAGGAAGAACAGATGACAGTCTAATAAAAGCAACATCAAGCACATGGTGTATAACAGGTTCAAGGTTGGACTGAGCATTTTCTGAGGTTGAGGGATCTGTAACTGCTCTCTCCAGCTTTTCCATAAAGCACTGCCTCATGCAGCAAACTTTCCCAAACAAGGCACTTCCAGCCCCTACCCAGGTACTAATTTTCAAAATCATCTTTGAGACTCGCAGCCTCTTCAGATCTGGTCAAATAAAATGATAGGTTCAAGAGTTATTAGAGGTAACTAGAGACATTAGAGATAATATAGAGATAGAGGCGATGCATGAATTTTGCTTCAAAAGCATGTTGTGCTAATGAGTGTCTAAACTGAACATTTATCAAATATACTTACGTGGTAGGAATATGGTTCACCTTCTTCCATGGGCTCATCTGCCATTTTAAGGCCATTTAGCTGGAGAGGGGAGGGAAGGAAGGGGAATGCAGAAGAGAAGAGAAAAAAAACCAACAAACATTAAGACCTAACAATTTCAAATAAGCAGAGTTCATAATTTGCCCAATTTACATTTCAGAGCACACAAATGAAAACTGGTGTCCTCGGTGCTCTAATTTAAAACTGTAGTTTCAAACAAATACTACTACTTAGTAGTTATATTTAGCATCTCCCTCATGTATAATTTAGCGTATCCCTTTGTAAATGCCATTCCATAGTGTTATTTAATTGGAATTAATTTAAAATTCCTTCTTTAAAAGCTACAGATACCATCCATACAAGACGACACTAATGTAAAATTATTCCGTTATGCACAAAATCTATGGTGTGGATGCTTTTCAGAAACCTAAAATCTGCTGTTGAAAATTTATTTGCAGTTTAAGAAGAAAAGATTGAAAAGTGATTTCAAGTCTTTTTAGGGCAAGAGGGAGAAGCGCAAGAGCAGGTAGAACGGAGAATACATTCTTATGCACAAAAATAATTACCTATTTCCTTAAAAATTAGATTCCTCTAAAAATTTGCTTGCATCAAAAGTTATTTAAATATCTAGCAAATAGAATACTCAAACATTAATGAAGTACTTTAGAAACTGTAGATGTGTATATCAAAATATTTGTGGATCAATTTAAAACACACACCTTTAAGAGGCAAAAAGGTATGATATGCATCAGGATGGAAGCAAATAAATTACATGCTCTTAAATGAGCACAACACTTGCTTGTAGCTGCCTACCCTCCTGCCTCAAACAACAGTAAAAAGAAGATACCAAGTCTCCAGTCACAGGGAAAAAAAAAGTTTGAAAGTTACTTAGTTTAACCTCTCCCTAAGTAACAAACAATTCAATGCTGCTTAATAACTGAAACTTTAAAAAAAAAAACCAAACAGAAATATAAAGGATATACTCTATTTCAACAGGCAAAGCATTAACTAAAAACCGGAAATACCTGACAAAAGGATGAAGCCAATTATGGATTTTGCTAGTGATAATCACTAATTTGTGTTAGTCGTTCAGCATCACTAACTTCACGTGGCACAGATCTAACACAAAGCAAAATACTAACTAGAAATAATATAAGAAAACTCAAATTACTTTTTTCCTGAAAACAGAAGTTGGACCAATGAAGTTCTTAGACCAGGTAATGACATTTTTTCCTTCTACTTCTGAATTTATCTAATACACATGCCTAAGATACCAAAATATGGCATGATTATCAGTACGTGAATTGGTAAAACACAGGACTACAAAGAATCTTGAAACGCCATAGAGACAAAACAAAACAGAAAACTCGACAAACGGGTAGGGCTGAAGAGACAGGTTTATTACCACCGCGATTGCGTCATCCAAGCAAACCCTCAACCACTTCCACTGCTTCTCCTGGGACTCTTGATTTCAAGTAGAGCTTTTAAGAGCTAAGTCCTAAGTTAATGATTTTGATAATATTAAATCTCCAATTTTTGTTATCAAGGTACTGGCACTTATTTTTGGACTATATCCTCACTGAAAAAAAAAATCAAGGAAAGTAACATGAGGCTTTGGTTACTTCCACTCTTCTCTAAGTTTCGATTTACTTTAACCACAGTGTACACACATACTTTTCACATCAACTATAAGCCATCAGTTCAACCCAGCGCTGGCATATTCAACACATGTTCATCATTCATATATATATTATGCATTGCCACCCTAATTTCTCAAGGCCAAAAATCACTAACCTGTTACCCTGGATTCAGAAACCCCACATACGCTACAGAAACCAATGCTGCTAACTAATTTGCTACATAACTTTTTTTTTTTTGCACAACCATTTTTTCCAAATTAGTTACTGAGAGGGATGGGACATTCACTATACCTGTTATTGTATGAATTAATTTGATACATCAAGAAATAATCAAGAAATAATGCCAAAGGTCAGACCAGATATGAACTGCAACCTCATTTCAGACGATTCACTGCCATGTGATTTCTTTTCACAATATCACTAGATTACATTCAAGCGTGAATTAATGCAAGGCCAAATGTTGTCCAAAAAACTCGTTTGGACCTAGCAAGAACAGGGGTTTCCATGCCAGGTGCTCAAAAATACAATACAATTCCTCAGTCATGGACTTCAACTTGAAGTGAATTTAGCGTGCATTTCACCTTTTCTTTCTTTAACTATGGTCAGTGTTTTCCAAGGTGGGTTTTTGGGGGCTTTTTTCTCTTTTTTTTACTTAAATGTAAGCTCTGGAACCAATACCACTAGCCAGAAGAACTGCAGATACACTGACAACAGTAGCTTAACTCCAGGCAATCAGATACAGAAAGCTATCACTGCTGGAATAGGGTTTCGAATAAAAAAAAAAATGTCAATGTGTTATTTGATCTACATAGTTCCTGAGCATGCCATGTAGGCATACTTTCAGCTTTCTGGCAAATCAAATATAGTAAGTTATTGGATTTTTAAGGAAGGTAATCAAATGTCATCTTAATTAACAATTTCCTATCGTACACTTTTCCCCTTCATTGTTGCTCCTGTTTGTTTTTTTTCCTCCCTGTCCAGTCCCTCTATAACTACAAAGACTGGGATGTCTGCCAATTTTTAGTCCAAAGAATTTTATGTTCAAGTGCATGAATCTACTTTTGCTGCCCGATATACACGACTACGCTTTTGCCTTATTTGTTTGTGAACACTTGTCATTATCCATTAAAAAAAGCCCAAAACAACAAAACAAACACCAACAAATCTGTTGGATTGCAAACCAAAGTCTAGTAGTTTAAAGAACTAGTAGTTTGCTGGTTATTCAGTTAAAAAAAAAAATTACAAAAATCAAATCATTACTCTTCCATAGAGTTACTTACATTAGCCAAGTTTCAGTAACTAGAAGTTTCCACTGTCTCTCATATTAGGCAAAAAAGAAAAATTACAGTTAATACTTAATTCCCACCTTTACGGAAACCAAATACAAAAATTCTGCTTCCGCAGCCAACTGGGACCCCTTTTAGTGATTTGATGGTTACTATTTATGCACAAACATATACAGAACAGGGGTATTTTAATCTCTAAGTCATTGCTTACTAAATATCTATGAACGCACAAATTTAATTTATTATTTGGAATTAGAAAGCACATCTTCCTAACAGAACAGGTGAAAGGAAGCAAGTATGATTATTCTGAAGGCAATTCTTTCATTTCATTTTCTTTGAATCATTTTGCTGTTCAGTACTGCTAAACTCCTACAATTAACTGAACGTTTCAAATACCAACTTTCATTAAGACAGAAACTAAACTCAGACATTTTGGCAAACAGTGTCAAGACTTTCAAAGTAAAAAATTTAACGTTAGAGAAAGTATTCTGCGTTGTTGATCGGTATAAAAATAACCAAAACCACTACATAAAGAGAGATGAGAACCAAGTTAAGGTCAGACAACCTGGCAGGTAAGAAACTTACTTTTCCAGAGGCACAGGCTAAGAGACCCAATCCTCCGATGCCAAACCGCCTCCGAGGTAACACAGCGCAATCTGCCTTCGGACTTAAATAGCTGCAATGGATCCCATGACTAGCTGGGACTATACCCTATTACCTTGGGAGAATATCCAAAGGGCTTTTGTGGGCTGGTAAAAAGCTTAACTACTATTGCACATGTTTTTCCTCTGATAATTACAGCAGAACAGAGGAATCCCAGTATTACCAAAGATTAGAACCATCCCCCCTCCCCATATGAAGGATGTTTTAACAGTTCACATGATAAATACGTTATGATTTGGTGGGTCTACAGGTTTGGGCCAAAAGAAACTAGACAAAGGGTCAGCCAAAATGCCTAACTACAAGGCAAAACAGTAGAAGATGTAAAGCTGGTTCATTCTGCCCTAATTTTACACGTCTTCAAAGAGAATTAAAAGTTTTCTAGAAAAAACAGAACCTGGAATTATATAATCATAATATTATTAGAAGTAGAAAGTGTTATTCGTCACCACTCACGTACAATCTAGTCTGGCTTCAAACAGGTGAACTTCTACATAAGGACCAACAAAAGCTTCTGCATCCTCCGCGGTTCCTCCTTCACTGCGCTCAATTTGCTGTTACTGCAGCTACTAGACTTACGCCTCTCAATTCTTCCAAATGAACACAAGACAAACCAGTTTGCTTCCCCACATACAAAAGTATTACTTCAAATACTTATTTCAAAATGTTAGAGTGGCAGCTTACATTAGAAGCCTTAGTTTTTTTTAAAAGACTTTGAAAAAAAATCCTCTGAAAAAATCCTGTTAAGACAACCACATTTGTTCCTCATTTATTTTGAATTACATCTGCAGAGAGTTTGCATCATTAATTTAATTAGCAACACATTGGCCTACTGAATCTTATTTCCTGAGATAGGTTTGAGAAATTTGGGGGTTCTGTGCACAGCTGAACAGGTGAGGGATTTTTTTTTTTTTTTTTTTTAAATCTCTAAAAGTTAACAAAAGTTAACAAAAGTTAACAAAACTGAAGCTTAAAGGCACATGTTCTTCCTGTAACTTTTCTCCATGCAATTTGTTTTTTTAATGGTAGATATTGCTATTGCGTACAGGTGCCCAAGCTGGATTCAGTGCTCTTTACCACCCGGGCTCACGTGTTTTTGGGAAGGAAAAATTTCCCCCAGTGCAGCAGCCAACCCCACGAAGTGGAGGACGGAGCCGTGTTATTAGGGTTGCCCGACACCAAGTTACACCAACTAAAGCCGAGTCCCACCCCACCACGGCGTGACCAGAGCAAGGATGTCCCACTGATGGCAGTGCCCACGTGAGCAGGTCTTCCCCGAATTTTCTTCTCATCTGCTGACCGCGCAAGCCCTGTGCTAGCCTGAGTCCCTCAGCTCCTCTCACAGAAGGAAGAGCCCAGGTAACTCACATTCTCTTTAAACATACCAAGTAAAAGAGGAAGATAAAGCCATCTACCTTAAAAAAACCCCAAACACAAAACCCACACACACCA